CTATCCCTTCCTTAATTAGGCTATCCATGACCTTCTCTATCTCTTGTCGCTTTGCTGGAGCTATTCTTCTCGGAGGAAGCTTTATTGGACGGTGATTGCCTGTGTTTATTCTGTGCTCTGCAAGGTCTGTGCAGCCATGGTCATTATATCCTTTTGAAAAGACGTTTGCATAATTCGCCAAAAGTTCCCTAACCTGAAGAGCCTGTGATGATCACAAGTGGACTATACTTTTCTTATAGAGGTCAGTTAAATGTTCTGGGAGAGGACGTCCTTTCTTTATGGTCATATTCCTTGCCTTAACATTGACTGGCTCTACCTCCTGGCTGACACCCAACAATGCCCCTTCCTTAAGTTTCTGCTCACATTTAGAGAAATTGGCCACTGTTATGGGTATTACTTGATGACCTGTCACAAGTGACCTTCCAATCTTCACATCTGCTGGCCTGGATGGGTCTTCTATTGCTTCTACAAGCATTGGGCTTTCTTGGGGATGTTCTTTTATACTACCCTAAATTATCTTCTCTCACATAGGGGGTATTGTGGTTGAGTTCAGTGCTGTGACATGCAAATGAACAGATGCTGGAACACTTACTGGAATTTGGCCTTTGTGGTTCCCAATCGTCATCTTATCGAAGTTAACTACACACTTCTTCGGTAGTAAGTAGGTCAACCCTAATATGCATTGGTCTTCAATGTCAGCCAAGTAGGCTTTGTGTCTGTCCTTTAAGCCCATGAGCTCACTAGTTACCCACACTGGTCCCCACAACCTTGCATAATGTCCTGTCACCCCACAGGACTTGTGTATGGCTTCTGGTACTCCTTTGTGATCTAGCACCTTCATACTGCCAACTTTGCTGCCACGTAGACACTATGTGTGCTTGCCATTTTTACACTTAGCTGTTGGGACTTTCACGATGGGGGTTGGTGGGCATCCCTCAGCACCAACCACTACTAGTTTCTCGAAGCTGACTTATTGGTAGTATTCTTCTTACACTGGCTCTTCATATGTCCTTGCTCTTCACAGTTCCAACAACCTTTCTGGGTAGCAGCCTTTCTTGCCGTGGCATCTTCCCTGTGTTGAAGTTGCCGGCATTGAACTCTCTTGTACCTAAGCTACACAATGGACTATCTGTGATCTACCCACCACGGGTATCGAAACCCGGTTTCTAGCGTGGTAAGTCCATAGACATACCGCTGTGCCACTGGGGATCCTTTGTAGCTTTGTTTGTTTGCTATTAACCACAAAGCTACACAATGGACTATCTGTGATCTACCC